GCGAACATTTTTGGATTTCGCCTTACCCAATCGAAGACATGGTGTCTGTTAGCAGCGCCACTGTTAGCTCTGGGAGTAGCAAAAGCGCTGCTCTTGTGCGTCCACGGCAACAGCAAGTCAAACTTTCATCAGTCGCAAACATTGACAAAACCCGGAAAACAACAACAGCAGCTCACAACGACAACAAAGAGATTGAAATGCTCAAATCCATCCGTAGCGAGGTCTTCAAGGCCATGACAATGCTCTGGGATGGAGTGTCCAGTGGGCGCAACACACTTACTGTATTCGACTCACCAGAAAAGATTGCCTCTGTTTTCACGGCAGTTTGTGGAATTGAGTTGTTCAGTGGCAATGAAATCCGAGCTGCAGTTAAGCGAGGCGACACCGGCAAGTCTCCAGTGCGTCGAGGGCGACCAAGCACCATCTCCGAAGACGTGTTCGAAGGCTTTTGCTCTGCAGTCTTTACTTACTCAGCCATTCAACAAGTCAACGCAGAAAATAGAGACACGAGGAGAGATATTCAGACCATCGTCGGATCTGTCCTCAATGCAAAACGAGTGGAAGAGGGACTCTCTCTAATGGGCGAAGTCAACTTCTTTCGCCGCATAGAACAACGCAACAGCACGAGGCAATCTTTTGCAACACAAGACCCAAGAGAAGCTCTTCGCGTTCAGTGGTTGACATATCAGTGTCAGAAGGCTATGAACGATGGGAAGAAACTGCTGTTGAGCTTGGCTTTGCAAGGTACCCCTTTCCCGGTGAGAACACTGGTGGGCAACATATCATCTGGCATGAGGGCCAAGCACGGAGAGTCCTGCAATTAGACGAGATGGGCTTCTCCATGGATGCTTCTATTAGAGGAGGTGGTCGCCCCTCATATGTTCCGACGGCCACCAATGTACCCAATAGCGGACAATCAGCGCCAAAGGGTGGAGCGAAAGTGACAATCATTTATGGAATAAACTTTGCAGACGAAGTCTTTCCACCCTACATTCAATTTCCATCGAAAGCCAAAGATAAAGGCAACTACAAGCTCAAGGTGAAGATGCTAGACGGCTTTCGGCAGACAAAAGGACAATTTGGATACAGTCGCGACCACTACTTTGATGTTGGATTTGGAGTCAATCCAAAGGGTGGAATGGACGCTGAAGGCTTTCGAAAGTATTTGGTCCAACACCTGTGTGAGCTGTATCCGGACGCACAAGATCTTCCCCTGCTCCGAGTGCTGATCAAAGCCGACAGTGGGCCTGGTCGACGGCATATTGGAATGCTTGGTGACCTCCGTGCACGAGGCATCTATCTCTTCCCCGGATTGCCAAATGGGACGGAATTCCAGGAAATGGATAATCTCTATGCTTACACGAAGACTTTGTCATTTCGCAACAGAGATCTCTTGGTAAGAGAGCGAACAAGAATCGACGGTGCTGCTTTTACGTCCTTGAGCTACAACGATGTTGGGTATATTATCTTCGGCGGTCAGGTTCAGTTGAATGAAACAGAAACAGTCGAGTTGATCGGCGCCTTCGACCGTTCTTTTGATCAGTCTCACATCCAACGAGCGAGAGAGAAGTGTGGATATCTTCCAAGTACAAGAGCTGCGCTTGAACATCCCAAAGTGAGACACGAAATCGTCCATGATGCCGACGGCAACATCGACACCGAGCAAGATCCCATCGGCGCTTATTATGATGCATTGGAAAAAGCAAACCATGATGCGTGTGCGATGCTAGCAAGCAGAGGATATGGATTAGCTGAGGAAAAGCTGAAGCTGTCAGTCCGTCGTGTCACAGCTGAGCAAACAGTCGGTCGAGATGAGGCTCGCACATTGCCGAATACGAAAGAGAGGCAAGATCTCCTCGCGAGGGTGTCCACAGCCGGACAGTGGTTCCATGTAACCAATGGGGGCGGTCCTATGAATAGCAATGACGCTTTGATTGGTTGGGCTCGAAAAAAAAATGAAGCAAGAAGCCGAGCAACTTGAAAAGGCAAAGGCTGGAATTGCTGAGTTTCAAGAGCTAGAGATATCAGCCCATGAGATAATGGCAACACTACCAGAGCACGGCAATGGGACGCCATCTCAACGTAATCATTGGAAGAAGACTTGGCGGGTGGAGCATCTTCGAGCGATTATTCAATGGAAGCAAGGGCCAAGTCCTGTCGAACCCAACAACGAGAAAGCTCAGTGGCAAGAAGAAGCAACAGTTGCAAGACCTCTACGAAAGCAAGTACATGGCAGTGGAAGTGCAAGATCGTGGTGAATGGACCAGAGAAATGGATGCGCGTCTTGCTTATTTGAAAGCTGGCGAAGTTACAAACTTCGTAAACAATACAGAGATGAAGCGAGCTTTCACAAGAGAAGCTGAGTTCCTTGAGACGAGGCTCCTTGCTTTGGATGCAAGTAGACGAAAGAAAATAATCAACAATGTGCTGTTGAAAGTCTCTGACAATGAACGCGATGCTGTTTTCCTCGGGCTTATTGACGATGACGGCATGGCTTCCTATGGCAATCACAATGACGCGCAACGCAACCTCGATGACGACTCGGACGATTCTAGTATTATGGACTTTTGAGCGAGAACGCAGCCAACAACAATGTGCGAGAGTCGATTGATGGACACCCGACAGGCAAGAAAGATTCAATGGCAAGTACCGATACTAGTATTTAGTAGTAGGCAGTTCACAACAAGATAAGTTTCTATAATAATTTAAAATATGATTTGATATTGTTCTGCTCCATTGCTCAATTTTGTCCGAGTACCACCGTTTCGATCTCTGCAAAAAATCGCTTTCCTTGATCTTGTTTTTCGCTGCGAGGGCACACTACCTGAATGCTCCTTAGTCCACTCGGACCTGTGATGCCAACAAAATCTAGAAGCATGCCCCGGGCACTGCTGTTGACGCTTTCGAGACGACGGATGGTGATTGTTGCTTTATTCAAATGAAGTCCAATCTCAAACGAAACTGGTTGGCCAACAATGATTCGATCATCTCCAGCGGGGACTCCACCGGGCGGCAAGAGATTTCCGTCAACCTTCAATCGATGACGATATTCAGAGGCACAATCACCCAATATCTGGTGGGTGAGTGAAGGGGCGACAGCAACTTGAAAAGAAAAACTTCCCTGGACTCGCATTTCCGATCCATTGCGATAGACAACGTGCAGACTGCCTCGAGCCGTCGCCTCTGCTGCCTGGTTTGGAGCTGCGTATGGGATTGTTTGGAATATCATTGTCGAGTACAGTGAAGTTGAATCGATTTAAGTACTGAAATCGTCCAAGCTGATCTGGAATCGCATCTTCTTCTTGGGTTCCGAGGAGCGTCAACACAAGATCGTTAACACAAGAGCAACTGGTGGCACATGTCCGGTTGGAGCAAGCTCCACCATTCCCAGAACAATCCTTTAAGAAAGAATTCGATTTGGCACCTCTACTGGCAGTGCCGGTGTTGTAAAGATAGGGGATGTAACCGTCTGCCAACGGGAAAGAATATTTGGATACTCCGTTGCTCTTGTATCAATCGGAGAGGAATCGGAGAGGTTGATTGTTGGTTCGATTCGAAACTCATTATCCGGAGATTGTGCTTTCAGGAACAGGAACAGCAAAAGCAATCAATCAAGATGGTGTTCAAGCTAGCGATCCTTTCGTTCTCTCGGTCTGCCATGGGTATGCGTATTGTTAACCAGACGCAGGAGGCATTCTTGGAGGAGATGGTCATAGTCCTCGATCGTGCAGGAGAGGACGTGACGGTTGCCTTTCTCCACGGTGGTCCTCCATTTGCGAGATTTCCAATCCATGTTCAAGAGATGGTTTCTGAGCGTCCAGGTTAGTCCATGACACTGCTTTGTGTGCTGCTGGTGGCGCTTCTTGCTCACTTCTGCCTCTCTCAGGATCGACCCTTCAGGTGGAGGGTGGAACCTATCGGATCAAAAACCTCCTCAGCGGAAAACAGGTTGTTGTTGTTGTTGCTGCTGGTTTGCCCGGATTGTTTGGTACTGGTGTGGACAATCCTCCTTTGGTTGATCTGCCGGTTCCCATTGTGGTTGCTCCTGCTGCAGCTGTTGCAGCTGTCGCCGCCAACCTTCGAGCCAACCATCGAGCTCGAGCCTCCGCTCCAGTCGCAGTTGCACCTGCTCCAGCTCCTGTCATGCCCCCTGCCGCCGCAGTTCCTGCTCACCGTCGCCGTGGAGGAATGGACTCAGATGATGACGAGTTTGAAGAGATCCGCGTCATGATCAACAACCCTCCTCGTCGCAGCCGTCGTGGACGCAACACTCGAAACAACAATCGTCGCGAATCAGATGGATCAGAGACTCCAGTTGTCGATGTCTCTGGTTGGGGTATGACACAAGAGTTCTAGTCGCCATGGTGCCGAGCGACAGCTCTGTTGTAGAGGACGGAGCGTCGAAAGGACGGCAGTTGTTTGCTCTGAGTAGGAGCCGTCTACTGACGGCTTCTCTCGAAACCACCCAGAGCTAACACTGTTGGCTGTGGCCTCTTGTTCGATTGTGTTATCCGCATTGTTGTCAGCATTGTTGCCAAGCTGTTGCCATCTGAGTGTGTCTGCTGTTCTCTGCAGCACCTGGTGTACTAAAAATCCTATAGTAAAATATTGGGCGCTTCTCAGAAGAGCCGATTCAATTTGAACTAAAGTGCTATGCAATATACGCGTATTTTGAAAAAAAACGTATTTTGCGTTTATACGTGTACTGTATCACGATTTGTTACTTTTTTATTAATTACCCAAAGTACATGATCTGGAACGGGGGTTTAGAGTGGGGAAATTATCTTCGTGTATTGATAGCGTTTCGCCGGCTTACAATCAGCATGGTTAGCCTTAACCTTACCGGAGTGTGTGAGACAAGACCGCTCGATCCTCCGATCCAAATCTTTTGGCCGCTCCTCCGCTCTTGTTGGATAACAAAAGCCAACAAAGACCAGTTTGATTTGACCAGCTAGCTAGCTAGTCGCCTTATTACTACTATCACAGTAGCTATCTAGAAGATGCCTCCTGCCAACGCGAACGAAACGTACTGTACGTTTACCTTGGCGTCGGATGTGACCGCTGGTGGTTTGCCAAGTGAAGAGGAGATTGCCAAAGACTTGGAGTCCAATGATACCGCGGTGAGTCGAGTGCTCTACTATGGCTCAATACGGCGCGCACGTAGGATCCTACGTGCGACCATCATGACCCTCCAATGCTTGCTGGTGATATTTTGTCTTTTTCATGAAGGTGTAGTTAGACCCTGATGACTGACTGTCACTCACACACAGTTCTATTTATTCTGTCTTGATGATGTTTGTTTTTATTTTTGTTTTTATTTTTGGTGTTGGCTTTTAGGTGAAAAAGCACGCGCTCAAGGCCGCCATTATGGCCATGCTGGGCGGTGAAGCGATGCCTCGTATTTTGATGCAAGTGATTCGTTTCTGCATCAACTCGGACGACAAGCAATTGAAGAAGCTGTGCATGTTGTACTGGGAAGTCGTGCCCAAGTACCAAGATTTGACGAACGAAGAATTACTGTCTGGGCAACCCGTACAACGCAAAATGCTGCCCGAAATGCTCCTCGTCTGCAATGCGCTCATGAACGATCTCAATCATCCCAACGAATACGTCCGTGGAAGTATGCTACGATTCCTATGCAAAGTCAAAGACGCCGAAATTCTAGGACCCCTCATCCCCTCCATGAAGGCATGTCTCGAACACCGTCACGCGTATGTCCGCAAAAATGCCGCATTGGCCATGTTCCACGCGCATCGCGTCCACGGAGAAACACTCTTACCGGATGGACCCGATCTCATGGTCTCCTTTCTAGCGGGAGAGACGGATCTGGCATCGAGACGCAATGCCTTTCTCATGCTTTTCAACGAACAGGAAGAACTCGCCATTGAATTTCTGGCTCATCATTTGGCGGATGTCCCTTCGTATGGAGATGGATTTGCCTTGCTCGTTTTGGAACTCACCCGTCGAGTCTGTCGTCGAGATCCTACACAAAAATCACGATTTGTCCGAGTCTTGTTCCAAATGCTCAGTTCTCCCAGTCCTGCCGTGTCCTACGAAGCGGCATGGACACTGGTGTCGCTGTCGAGTGCCCCCACGGCGGTTCGAGCAGCTGCATTGACGTACACTACTCTACTCAATGGACATCAAAACGACAACAATGTCAAAATGATTGTACTCGAACGACTCGAAGGACTCAAACACAAGGGACACGCCAAAATCTTGCAAGAACTGCTCATGGACGTACTCCGCGCATTGTCGTCGCCCAATCCCGATATTTGTCAAAAAGTCATTCAAGTTGCCATGGATGTCGTCACGGCACGCAATGTCAATGATGTTGTTGGTATTTTGAAAAAGGAAGTACAAAAGACACTCCAGGAATCCGACAATAATACCGCACACGATTTTGGAGCCAGTGGCAAGGGAGCCGTCTATCGACAAATGCTCATTCGGGCCATTCATTCCTGTGCCGTCAAATTTCCGCAAGTGGCCGAATCGGTTGTGCATACACTCATGGATCTACTCTCGGCGGCAGGAGCCGATGGATCCAATGATGGTGGAACTGGCATGCAAGTGGCGATCTTTGTACGAGCCATTGTCGAACAATATCCCGATTTGCGTTTGGGGCTCTTGCAAAAGTTGTTGCAGAATTTGGATGAAATCGCATCGAACGATGTACTCTGTGTCTGCTGTTGGATTTTGGGTGAATACAGTGAACAAAAGGATGGGATGATTACCGAATCGTTCGATACCATTGCCGAACAACTTGGAGAACCACCATTTGTGCTCATGGCAGCTTCCGACGACGCCAACAACAATGCCAGTGGTACCGACGGTGACACACCCAAGTTGGTGACCAAAAATGTCGTCTTGAGTGATGGAACCTACGCCACCCAGACAGTCTACTCGGAAACCACCAAATCCTCGTCCGCACTCGACAAGACACCGGCACTGCGCAAAATGATTGCTGCCGGAGATGTCTTTTTGGGAGAAATTCTTGCCGCCGCATTGACCAAGTTGTGTCTGCGGGCCAAACAATCCGAGGGATTCGATCCCGTCGCGCTCAAGAACATGACCGTCAAGACATGTCTCATTCTCTGTGGATTGGTCAAAATGGCCGAAGTCACCGTGTCGGCGCAACGTTCCAGTTGGATGGATTGTCAGGAACGATTGACGCTCTGTGCGCGTGCATTGCTCGACCCCAAGGCCGAAGAGCTCTTGAGCAAGACTTTTTTGGAAGATGGCAAGGCTCGATTTGGCGAATTCCTCAAGGAGCTCAAGGAAAAGGAGAAGGATGCCCTCAAGGAACTCGAGACGGAAGAAGACAAGGAGGCTGCCAACAAACCCAAATCGCAAGCCGACGATCTGATCCACTTTCGACAATTGCGTAGCATATCCACCCTGGGCGGCGGAGAAATGGTGGATCTGGACGATGGGGGTGATCTGGCACGAGCCACGGGATATGACAATGCGGGTAATATGTTGTCGCAAGAGCTGTCGCACGTCTATCAGTTGAGTGGCTTTGCCGATCCTGTCTATGCCGAAGCCTTGGTGACGGTGCATGACTACGATATCGTGTTGGAGATTCTCGTCATGAACCGCACTCCCAACACCTTGGCCAACTTGACAGTGGAGTTGTCCACCATGGGTGACATGAAGATTGTCGAACGTCCTCAGGCACACACTATTGGACCGCTGGATCAAATGACGATTCGTGCCAGTATCAAGGTCAGCTCCACCGAGACGGGTCACATTTTTGGAACCATTGTGTATGAAGATACGGCCAGCGGTGAAAAGAAGTATATTCATCTCAACGATATTCACATGGATATCATGGACTACATTCGTCCTGCCACCACCACCGATGAGATGTTCCGCAACATGTGGGCCGAATTCGAATGGGAGAACAAGGTAGCCATTTCAACCTCCATCACCAGTCTCTTGGAGTTTTTGAGCCACATTGTCAAGTCCACCAATATGCGCTGTCTAACCCCACACGACGAGAACGAGAAGGGCTCTTTCCTAGCTGCCAACTTGTATGCTCGAAGGTCAGTTAACTTTTTGCTCTCGTTTGTTGTGCCCTGAGAGTGGCGCAATCTAATCTGACTTTGATCTTGTGGTTTTCATGTTTGTTCTTTTTCCTTTGCAGTGTCTTTGGTGAAGATGCCCTGGTTAATGTGTCAGTAGAGAAGAAGGACGACAATGACGGCAAGTTGGCAGGTTACATCCGTATCCGATCAAAAACACAAGGAATTGCTCTGAGTCTGGGAGACAGAATTACCTCAGTTCAGCGAGGGTTGTCGGAGGCCAAGTAAACCAAAAAGTTGGCTTTTCTGATTTTCATTTTAGTACAACCTGCTTCTTTAAACAATTTCTTTAAACAACTACTAAATTGCCAATACTGTAGGCGGTGCCCTGACCGGGATATTTGTTATGATGTGTTCCTCTGTTTGCATTTGTACAAAGCGGCCTCCGCCGCAAGCACTACCATAGCATCGTCGTCAAGGAATCCATTCGCTGACGCAAAGGAAGGACACTAGTCTAGGAGTCAAATAAATGTGGCCCATCCGACGCACCCGTCTCTAAGCAGCAGTGGCTGAGCCAGGGCGATGCGCGGGCGGTGCCCTGACGGATGCCTTCATCTCCTGCCAACTATCCTCGGGCAAGTCGATCATTTGCGTAGTAACTATAATCACCATCATGCTCACTGCCACCTCTCGATGGTCGTCGTCTGTCAACAAATGCCGCCCTTACTCTGGAACGAGAGCGGAGTCGTTACCAGTTCCCAGGCCACCAGGGCGGTGCCGAGTGCCAGAACCGCACACAGACTCCAAGCAATAATGCTGGGCCGTCCACGTTGCGCCACATGAATGGCCCATAAACGGCCTCCACTGCCTCCCACCAGTCCAGCCAAACCCAAAGTTATGGCATAATCGGGCGCAATCATCATGTCCATCACGAGATAGTGAAATAAGTTGGTTCCACTATTCATCATGGACATGATGGCCGTGGTAGCACTGCTTTGTTGTGCATCCATCTGGAGGAGTAGCAACAGGATTGGGCCCAGTAGCTCTCCACCACCAATACCCAGCAGTGCCGCCAAGAGACCAATCAACACGGATGCCCACGGTAACCACCAAGCCAACAGAGATTGGAACTTGTCCTGGTGGTGTTCTTCAGGACCGCCCTGATGATATCCCGGGTTCGACGAGGCAGCTTGTATCAACGGAAGCCGTTCGCCAGACGGTGGATCTTGGCGGCGGCCAAGCGACTGCACCAGACACCTTCCCAGACCCACAAACAGCACCGCAACCAGCGCGGGGAAAGCCACCAGCAGAATATACAGGGGCGAGCAGAGTGGGATTCGCATGGTGTGCAAAAAGAGGCAGTGAATAGCATCCAATAACCAAAAGGTACCAATCAGGAGCTGCAGCTTGCATTGGATGGAACTGGTTCCGTCCTGCTGTGGTGTTCGTTCTTCTTCTTTGTCAGTGCCATTTGAATCTGCTTCTACTAGAGTTCCAACTCGTTGGTCGGACGAATAATCAGTATAGATTGTTGTCTTAGCTTGCTGTTCGGCTCGTCTCATTGTTTGTGCCTTGTGATATGTTTTAATGGCCGCCAAAAGAAGCGTCAAGAACGCTAGAATCAAAATGACTGTGGATGGCACCATTCCTTCCAGAGTAATCGCAATACTCCCTCCAGCAATGACAGAAGGCATCATGATGAGGACGGTTGCCAAGACCACCACCACTGATTGTGCATGGCTCTTGCTATGGTTGTTGTTGTCATGATGATTGTTGATGGCAAATTGTCCCAATGTATTGCAAAAGACAGCCGTATTGGAGAGTACCGAGGCTTCTTTGGGAGTAAAGTTGCAACACAAGAGCAAAATGGGCAAAACGAGCCCACCGCCACCAATTCCCGCCATGGCGGCCAGAAAGCAGCAAGTGGCCGCCAGCAAAAAGGCCACTGCATCTCTGGCAGATAGTGGTAGTAAGTCAGATGATGACCAGAGTGTCTTGTGGAGGCAATAATAATAATTGGGCGATGATTCAGCAGTACCAGTAGCATTGCTTCCCTCCTTCAATCCCAATGCCAATAAAGGTGGTGCTTCCGGATGCCTGTGGTCCATCGCAGAGTCGGAACCAAAAGGCAGCAAGGCACAATATCGTTCCTCGCCACAAGAATCAAAGAGAGTAGCATTCACTGGACATTCTTCAGGACTGTCGTCGGGGGAGGGCGGCAGTACGTGGAGCCTGGAGATGGACTCCAACAACAAAGAATCCCTTGCATTCAAGTCATGGTGCTGACGATGCTCCACCGAAGACGCAAAAGCCACCGCAAGTACCATGGACACAGAGAGAGCCATTCTAGCTGCTGCTGTTCTCATCATCGTCGTCTCTGTCTACTAGTATCTCTACAAACTCTCTCATAAACCAGTGCCTCCATTGCTCTCAGCTCTCGCCATCCGAGAGCCAGCATTGGAGGTCGTCCACGTCAGACTGCCAATTTCCACGTCATTGAGGCGATTGGTCATCGATTTGATCGAGAGACGCTAGCTAGAGTTTATTGAATCGAATCGAATCGAATCGAATCGAATCGAATGAGCGTGTTTGGCGAAACGTGGAGTGAAGAACCAGTCGTGATTTATTGGATCTTTTGCACCTCTCCCTCGTCGCTCTCCGTTGATCGTCTGCATGGTTGTTCTTCCCTTGAACCACAATGGACAACCAACGAAACCACAAACAAAGCAAACAAAACCTACCGTATCATATTCTATTTTAAAATTAGTCGTCGACAATGCTCTCATCAGCTGAAGGAATGCACTCGGCCCAATTCATGGGCCTCATCAACGCCTTGCGGACAGGAGATCCCACCGTGGATATGATGGCCGCCTTTTTGTTGCCGTTTCTGGTGCAAAAGGCCGTCACCCACGTTCCCCACCAATTGCGCCGCCTTTTGAGATACTTGATGGGCAAGAAGAAGATTGTTGTGCGTCGCTATCACCGCAATATCATCTACCGAACCACGCAATCCAATGGGATGCGCATGAGCTCGGATGAAGACTCGTTCAACACGTATTTGCTGCGAGCCATTCAGCTCTACGTCCACGCACACTGTCCCCTCAAGGATCTGGATGATGCTCATTTGGATTTGACCCTCTTTGATACGTCTCGCTGCAATCAGAATACCCGCAATGGACGCATGTCCATGACCAACCCGAACGGAACAGTCACCAACAACTCCACCGTGGACATGCTCCAGACATGCACCTTGGTAGAAAAGCCTCTGGAAAACAAATGGTTGGATGTGGGGACTCATGCAGGGGGCCAGGTGGAGATTATGATTTGTGACACGCTCTCGGGGGGCAACGGCAAGAAGCAGCAGCAAGGAGGAGGAGCTGCAAACAACGACGGGGGAGGCGGGGGAGAAGGGGAGGGTGGCGACCAAGGAGGAAACAACAAGCAATCCACCCGTTCTCTCGAAGTGCGCCTTCAGTCGGAACACTCCGTCGCATGCCTCCATGCCTTTGTCAACACTGCCTTTGACTGGTACGTTGGTGAGATCAAGAAATTGGAAAACCAGGAGCGATTCATGTTGGATGTCCAGCCGATGCAAGGTCGCAACAACTGTCCCACCTACGTGGCCTACAAGCTGGGGGGAGAAAAAACCTTTGATACACTATTCAACAAGAAGTGTCACGAGCTGCTTCGCTGGGTTGACCATTTCGAAAACAAAACGGGCAAATACGCCATCAGGGGCTACCCGCACAGTAAGTTTGCATGCTTTGCCATCGAAGTGGCGGCATCCTGATATGGATGTGGTGCTTTTCGTGCACTGGCAGGTGCTTTTGCTGACATTCAATTCTTCTTTTCGCACGCAGAGCTTGGCTTGCTGCTGACTGGTATCCCTGGAACAGGAAAAACCAGTCTCATCAAGGCCATTGCCCACTACACTGGTCGTCACATTGTCAACATCAATCTCTCTCACATCGGAACCAATGGGGACTTGCGAAAGATCTTTTTCAATCGCATGTACCAAATCACTGGAGTCAACTCGCACCAGTTGCGTTTGGATTTCAGTCAAATCATCTTTGTCTTGGAAGACGTGGATGCCGGGGCCAAGGAGGTGGTCATGGACAGAGAAATGCTGGCAGCCCTGGAAGAAGAACGCGCGGAGAAAGAGGAGAAGAAGGAAGCGGAGAAGAAGGACGAAGGACCCTTTGGAGCGGCAAGGCGCTACCCAGGAAGGGCCACCACGACCATCCAGGGAGTGGATAAGCTGAACCTGAGTGGGCTGTTGAATGTCCTTGATGGTGTGGTGGAGACCCCTGGCCGCATGGTCATCATGACGACCAATCATCCTGAAATCCTTGATCCGGCTCTCATTCGGGTAAGTGCGCTTTTGCATTTGGTAGCTGTCCTGCGATGTTGGAGACGACTCACAACTTGGAGACGACTCACAACAACCTCGTTCACCCTTTCTCTCTAAACCTCCATCGCCGTCCCCTATAGCCCGGAAGGATCGACAAAATCCTTGAGCTGGGACACATGAAGGAGCCTGAGGACGTCGTCGCCATGCTCCAGCACTACTACCGCAAACTAACAAGTGAGGAATCAGCCATGGTGGAAACGTATGTGACGGAAGATGACCTGGAGATCACCCCAGCCCAAGTGGAACAGCTGGCTATGGAAGAGGACGAGCTAGAAGGTTTCCTTGAGCGGTTGAGTCGCTTTGGAAAGGACAACGAGAAAGACGGAAGCAGCAAGGACAAAGGCAAGGATGCCATCCCCAAGCACTTGATCATCAAGGCGTCCTCCCAGCCAGCGACTACCACGACAGCAATGACTGAGGGTGAGTCCACTGTCAGTGATTAGCCAGCGGTGGATTGAAAAGATCTCACCTCGTGCTTGCTCTCCCACAACCCGGCCAAAGATGAGATCAAAGAGCGGCTCTATTTGGAAGAGTTGCTGTATGAAATGGATAATGAATGTGGAGATTATTAGAAATGCTAAAGTAAGGAAGTGAACGCACGCGCGTGATGAAAGTTTTGCTGTCAGTGTGCTGGCTAGCTAGTGTAGTTTTACTTTGCTTAGGTTTGCTAGCTACGGTACTGGCACGCAGAACGGAACTCGGTTCTCATGCTCTCCTCAAATGATGCAGAGCCGCATCTCTATTGCCATTCTTGCGAAAGCTACACATATGTGTCTCCGTGGATCCACCTTCCCTGGAATGGGTCGGGAAAGGGAAACGTCGTCGTCAAATGGGTAGTCATTCCCAGTCTTCTATGACGTGATCTAGGAAAATTGTGCAGAGCAGACATCCAACGATACCGGTACCGTAGGACCTTGCATGCTTCTCTTTGAGATACACCAAGACTGAGATTGTTGCCAATGGCATTCTGGGCAAACCAGTCTCTCATTTGCCCGAGTCGATGGCTCCTGTCTGCATTGGGCGGCTGGGATCGGTCGCTTCTTCATTTGGCTTGATAGTCCTCCTCAATTTGCTCCCCCGCCCCACTCGTCTTCAACTGATCCCACAGCACCCAGTCCTGAATTTCGACTGTTCATTGCCTAATAAGCCTGGCCAGGCCCCAGCTGGCTTCCATAGATAATCTATACCTACCCTAAACCCTCTTCAAAAATTTGATTGCATTGGTCCACCCATGAAACCAGTACTGAAGTCGACTCTTCTTTGCCCTCTAATAAGCTTGGCCCAAATCACAATAGCCACATAGCAGGTTTTACTAGCTCTCGGCACTGGACAACTTGTCGACCACACACGGACACCATCGGTAGGAGCCAAGCAGGTCAACCCCATGAAACTTTATCTCCTATTCCCACCACCAACAACATCAGCCAGGATTAACCACCCCAGCAAGGCCCCAAGACCTCCAACAGCCCAATATCACCCCTTTTTGGCAGTGGATATAGGCCATTTCGGGACGATATCATACATTGGGGCCCACAGATACGGTCTGGATGCCAGTCCCAGCATCAACATTGTTCATTTTTACATATAAGAAGTATTACTTCAGCTATCCCCATCATGCCATTTACCTGGAAGTGCTCCACAATTGCCACAATAGCACGTTTTACTCTTTTTCTAGCAATTATTGGCACTGGACAACTGGTAGACCACAAGGACACCATCGGTAGAAGCCAAGCAGGTAGGTCAACCCCATGAAAGTTTATCTCCTATTACCCCCAAGAAAAACATCATCCAACAGCAACCACCCCAGCAAGGCCCCAAGATCTCCAACGGCCCAGTGTAACTAACATCTTTTATAGCTTACAAGCAGGCTATCTCCAATTTCCATAGGGTACTCCCCCCCCCCTATTCTACATGTAGTACTAGCTCTACATAGACCTACACAGCTCACACGCCGCAGGCTCAAAGGGCCGATGGGGGGTACCTACCTAGAGTTGTGTGCACCATAGGACACACCGCCCCTCCTCCTGGTTCACTGGTACATGTAGACTAGCATGGGAAGCAAAATCAAGGCGTTCTCTGGGAATGATTCAAGGGGCTGTGAGGAAAATTCAAGGGGTGCCTTCAAACTATTGACTTCAACGTTCGCACCATTCCGTGTTGTGCTGGCATCATTTTCATGCTGCAGGCCACCATACAGCCCCGGTACCGAGCCCTGCGGCGTACGTGTCCTCGGTACGGATGATGCAGAGAAGAAGATCGTCAACCTGGTCGTGGTGGATGAACGTTTGGATGGTGAGGAGGAGGAGTGTCAGAGCTATGTAGCTAGAGTGCGTGGATGTTTGATTTCTTGCCTTGGAAGCAGCAAGCAACTGGCTGAGCGAGTGACAGCCAGTCTTCCAATGGCTTCCGTAGATAATTTCCCTACTCTAAAACCCCCCTTAAAAATGGATACCTAGTAGATGCCATTGATTTCGTAATAGTTAGCCCACCACAACGGAAGCTAAGCATGACAAGCATCATCACTGTCCTGCTGCTACGTTGCTGTGTGTTTCATCCAGGATACGGTGTCTATGCGGTCAGAATGAACCATGAAAGTTATACTGGTCAAGGAGTGGCATCATCCTCTTATTGCAGCCAACAATATCATCCTTAGAAACCTTCCTGCCTGATGCCGTACCTTACGATCATGGACACCTCAAAAGCTGTAGCTGTGTCAAACAGGCAAACAGGTCCTACATCTCATGACATACTAGTACATTGTAAGCTACATGCACTCTAGCTAGCTAGAAACATCAAGATGAACAGATGAACAGTAGATGAACAGAGCTACTCGTAAGTTAGTTGGTTGCAAACAAAAGGCCAAAGGGAGCGATCGTGGATGTTTGCCCCTGCCGCATCCAATAATCCAATAATTCAGCAGCTAATTCAGCTATAATTATGGGATTCCTTAGCAGCTTTGGAGTTTCTGACAAAGAGAATGTGTGACTGGTCAAATCAACGTACTACGGCTATAGATATAAAGAGTTACTTGCAGTTGCTTTGACCACTTAGAACTGGTGTGTCATGTTGGCATTAGATGCTGTACCCGAAGTCTTCTCCATGATTCTTACATGCCTTGCCGGCACTGAGCCATTTATGTCTTTAGTGCTGGAGTAAGACTCTCCTTCCTGAAACACTGGCATTGCTTGCTTTATGAATTAAAGTTCCTATCTCCAATTCTTCTTCCAGAGTCATTTATGCCTTTCAATTCCTCGATCTTGCGTGTGGCAGTGGAGTCTTATTAAATAATTTTTCTTTGACCACCTTCGTTGAAGCTCCACCTCTTCTTTCGTGGCTGTGAGCTCTGTGCTCTGTGAGTGTGATGACTTTTGCAAGGATTTGTGGGTGGGCAGTTCAGTTCGCTTCCAGAGCGGCTTTTCTCATTTTACCACTCCTGATCGGCATTTACCATCAGCAGCAGCAGCAGCAGCAGCAACAGCAACAACCACAATAGTCATTGACAGCAAGAAGCAGCCACGCCAACAAGACGAAGTAACCAACGTAACTAACCATGGCGGCCAATAATAATAGTAAGAGTCTGATTGTGGATTACTCCAAGCATCGCGATGCCCGTGTGGATCGACAGAGCGTCTCGTCGTTGCGGTCCAGTTCCCTGCACGTGCGGCGCACATGCTCTAGTCATCGACGACGACCGATTCGACGACGAGTCTCCGCAAATGACTTGGAAGCGGCATTGGCGCAAGTGGATCGTCTGCTGCGACAACCCATGATGCATTGGGCGCAAGATGTGGGTGGCGTCGTCACATCGGTCAAAATTGGAGGACGCGCCGCACTGGCAAGGACCCCCTTGACACTGACTCCTTCTGCTGCTGGCAGTACTGGAAAGACTGGCACTGGCACTGGTAGTCGACACGGCAGTAGTAGTCACAATCATCATGTTGGTGAACAACAACTCTCGAAAAAGATCCACTTGGTTCCATCCCCCATGAATGCATTGAATACGAGCTTGAACAGTCAGAAACCAACGTTTTTCGGACTCCGCAGTTGTCACCACATGGATGAAACGGACGACGAGGAAGAAGAAGAGGACGACGGCTCTGTATTTGAAGATTCACAGAGTGTCTTGAGTGACGCGTCGTCTTCTGTAGCGACGTTTGCGGCGGACGATGACGATGACGAACTCTTGTCCGCGTCGTGCGCCACTCTTGGGACGGAAGCCACAACGCCTCTGGATCAGAGCACGGATACGTCTTCTTCGAAGCAAGACGAATCACTCCGAGTCAGCTTTCGTTTGAAACGAAGAGACGGCAGTGATCATCAACGCCACGGACAACGCCAAGACCGAAAGAGTCATGATCGACTTGTGGATTCTCTTACTCTCATCTTGGCACAAGCAGAAGATCCCAAGGCACCAACGACAACGATGCGTTCCAACAGCAGCAAGCGAATCTTTAGTAGCAGTATGCATGCTGGTGGCAGCAGGAAAGGACAAACGGATTCGCTCCATGCATCTAACGGTGGTAGTACGCACAGTACACGGTCCTTGGGACAACGGACGTCCATGCCCATGGTGCTTTCCCCTCGAGATGCTCGATCTCTGCGACGCAGTTTTCATCCACCGCAACCACGATCCAAGAGCTTTTCAAACGCCACTGCTACTACTGCTATTGCTAATACTACTGCTCCAATTTCACGTCGAACATTGTCCTTGAAGGAAGCCTCCGTGCAACAGCAATCGGCACGACACTTGCTACGACAAATGTCTTTTTCCAAGGCCAGTTTCAAGTGTTCTCTTGACTCCACCAACCATTTGAGCAAGAAAAAGATTCTTCCACTGCGATCGTCATCCTCCTCTTCTTCTAAAGCAAACAGCAACCACAATAACAACAGCAGCAGCAACAGCATCTTGACTACCACCAGCAGTCATGGCGGTCCTACATCTCCTACTAGTAGCAATATGCGCCGTTCCAGGAGTTTTTCCACGCAACAACAACAACAACAACAACGACTGACGACTAGTAGCAGCATTCCTTCCAACAATAGTATGAAAAATCCCGAGCTCTTGTTTGCGGCGTCACGCACTACCACCACGCCATTGGCACGGATCCGTAGAGAAGCATCCATACGCAGTACCAAAAATCTCTTGTCCGAACCGGCACGGAGAACCAATCGACGTCGGGGTGGCATGTCCAATCTATAGCAATACTAGCTAGCTATATATAATATAATATAATATAGCAATAGATAGGATATGTGATACCGGTAGACTAGCTAGTTCCTTGCTACCGCATTGATTTGTAACTGACTTAGCCACAATGTACGTACGTACGTACATGTAAGAGTAGACCGATCTACCGTCCATAGAAACCGTAGCTAGCTAGAGCTGGCTATCTATAGAAACCTGGAAAACCATTCCGTATGTCTCAATCCATCATTGCAGCTGGACCCTGGCCCATCCATGGACCAGGAATATATGTATCAGCTACCATGTGCTTACGAGGCTCCCGTATTCCAGCTAAAAGGCTTTCCCGGCGCTGGGATGACTGTGTTGCCCTCGATCTCTGCAGCTAGGCTTCCCCTAGTCTTCCCCCCTTGATCTTTCTCGACCCCCACCATGCCTTCCCTCCCTCTTTGCTCTTGATGCTGCTCTGCTCACTCGATCGATTGCTCGGCCCGCGTTTGTGCAGTCTGCTCTCTCCNCAAAGTAACCATTCTCTACTACAAGATACAGTGCATCCATTGCTTTTAAAAGCCATAGTAACCATTGTGGTCGTCAATTCTAAATAAGTCAGCGGGAGCTGCGATACCTCGGCAGAAAGACAGATAGAAGAAGGAAGATCATGTTCGAGATTGCACCCTTCTTTCAAGCTAGCCCTGGCGACAACACCCGACTTCGTCGTGTGTTGCCGCCCGGTATCATTCATTCCCTCATTGCCACCTTCTTTTATTAAGCTAGCCCTGGCGACAACACCCGACTACGTCGTGTGTTGCCGCCCGCTACTCTATAATTTACCAGCTGCCATTCCCTTATTGTAACACTAACCTTTACAGCTCCTGCTGGCTTATTGTGCTTTTGTGCTGAGTGCACAAACCTTAAATATTAATGATTTATTCCTACCCCTAACTTGTATTGGACCATCAATGTTCAGTTTTGTTGGCTTATGACTATCTATATCCTTATACTTTGGCTTCACCGGAATAGGAAATAGGAAATAACATTCGGAATAGGAAATAGGAAATAACATTCGGTTTTTTTCAGCGTTCGTCTCTTGATTCCTTAGTTCCAACGAATACATGCACAACCAAATATTGTCAATCCAGCCATTGTAGCCGGCTGCCGTATAGTTACATCGGCGACAGTGGCAACAGTACCGAACACAGCCCACTCAGGTTCGGCTTTGCTCGCTACACTCCGGTACAAGTACCTCGTATTGGATCCTTATGACGAATACATGCACAACCGAATATTGTCAATCCAGCCATTGTAGCCGGCTGCCGTATAGTTACATCGGCGACAGTGGCAACAGTACCGAACACAGCCCACTCAGGCTCAGCTTTGCCCGCTACACTCCGGTACAAGTATNTCGTATTGGATCCTTATGACGAATACATGCACAACCGAATATTGTCAATCCAGCCATCGTAGCCGGCTGCCGTATAGTTACATCGGCGACAGTGGCAACAGTACCGAACACAGCCCACTCAGGCTCGGCTTTGCTCGCTACACTCCGGTACAAGGACCTCGTATTGGATCCATATGACGAATACATGCACAACCAAATATTGTCAATCCAGCCATCGTAGCCGGCTGCCGTATAGTTTCATTGGCGACAGTGGCAACAGTACCGAACACACTTTGCTCGCTACACTCCGGTACAGGTACCTCTTGTTGTTATCCGGAGCGATCGTTCGTTCGTTCGTTCGTTCGTTCGTTTGTTTGTTCGTTCGTTGGTAAGGGACTCGACGCAATGGTAGTTCATCGGCCGTCAGCAGTACAGCAGAGAAAACAACAAATATGCAATACACGGCTCTTAGCCTTATTCGCGACTCGATCCTAGATAGGGTTTGAGTTCGACTCATGACTTAGTCTCTCGTGAATAGTCATTGAGACAGGGTTCTCAATGACCGCTCTAGTCATACTAGGTTGATGATGAAACATCGCTCTAGATATTTAGCCAGCGTGGAGTACTTCCACGCTACTAGATAAATGCTAGACGAATCTTCCACGCGTTCCGTTTTTGGATCGTGGAGTGAGTAGGATTGCTACCGCAACCTACTCTATCACACTCTACAGTCTCCCGCGGGAGTTCAGATCTACGATCCTTTGATTGTGGATCTCTCTCGTTGATTAGTTTTTCATAGCTTTCTAATCCTCTCATAACTTTCATTCTCTCAAACTCAAAACACTCGAAAGATCTTTACACTAGCTTTTAGCGTAGTGCATTTTGTTAACAAACACAATAGCTTTCAGCTACCCTCAACCTATTCCTCACCATGAAGATTGCCAAAGACGCATACACCAGCTTCGAGTCTAAGCTGCGCGACAAACCAATCCTTCCTCTCATCGACCTCGACGATGAATGCGAAATCGACGATTCTCGCTCTACCACCTACAAACTTCGCACTGTTCCAGCAGATGCTAACAGCGCCAAGTACACCTTCAAGGTCCAGATCATCAATGGATCTGAGACTCCACGTCAGACCATCAAGTGGGCTGGACGCATGGAGAAGGTCTTCGTTGGGCTCGCCATTGCTACGCCTACCGACAAACATAACCTCCTCAAGGAGATGACTTCTAGCTCTGCAAAGAGCAGTTACGAATCTAGCTGTGCAGGCCATCGTGAACTACGTTGGAATGCCTTGCGCCAGATTGCAGTCAACCGATTCCTCACGCGACTACGTGGCGGGAAGACGAAGCCACTTTCCAAGCACGTTTCCAGAATGCCTGGGACGGAGCAGCTCAGCCTGCTTTGGACGACACTGACATTACGTTTGCATAAATGCCTGTGTCGAAGCGGTCTGTCCCTACAAGGCTTGAAAAGCAGAAACGCTTCATGCGCCGCAAGATGCGTAAGCCTGCTGATATGTCTACTCGGGCTTATGTCAACAACCTCAGTCGGATGAACACCGATGAACTTCCTCGTCTACCACCTTTTGGACCCAACCAAACGTTGAACCATGACGAAGTCATTGACATTGTTTGTCATGAATTCCACGCTCGTGGATGAAGAAGATGGACGAACACAGACTTCGATCCTTTTCAGCTTATCCGGAGACCATTGGATTCTGCGACGCATGGATCCTCCGAAGACTTTTGCCAAGGGCGGTGATACAAAGCAAGCTCCTTCGAAGAAGAACAACCGCAAGAAGTACAAGTCTACTTCAACAACGACCACTCTTCAAGAACGA